TATACAAGGAAAAATACTGGCTTTTTTGATTTACAAAAATGTCTTTTTTTTCTTGGACATTGAAATTTTTTTTCAATCGTGTTATTTTCTGAAAGTAGAGGTCAATACGGATCCAAAAAAGTATCGCATGACCCTGGGACATTTTTTTTTGGTTTGAACCTACTTCCACCGGGGTGTGTCTATTTACAACAATTTCAGCACATTGTAGTCTATCTGGAAAGTGAATTTTCCATTTATTGAAGAAAAAAGAAACAATCCAAGTAACTCATATAAACCTTAGACTATCAAAGAATTTAAATAGACATCAAAGCTTAAGTAGAAATTATATATAACGTATTTATACATATATATATATATCTAGATAAGACAGAAAGACAGAAAGTGGGAAATCCCATGGCCAAAAATCAAAAAAATGAAAGTTCAACCATTATGTCTGATAGTGGGTTTAGTTACTAATACCCTCACTAAGAATTTTCCAATTTAGAATTAAAGTTATTTTTTTAATGAATTTTCGATAAAAACTGGATTTTAGTAATTACTATTTTTTTAGCATATAAATCATTAAAAAATTTGAGAATATACACATCATTGGAAAGGTTACAGTATAGACTGTTAAAAACAAAAAATAAAAAATATCTTGGAAAAAATTGGTAGTACAATTTTTAGCATCGAAAGTAAAAGTTTCATCACAAAAATACTAAATTTTAACTTTGATGAAAAATTAAAAAATTGTTCCAATTTGCAGCTTTTCTACATTTTGATATTTTTTAGTCTATAGTGTCTACTATCTACCCTGAGCAGTGTTGCTGCGATCATCCGCGATCTTGAGCGCTAAATAATTTTGAAAAATTGATGTTTTTTTAAATAAATAAAAAACTTCTTTAAATAATTTTTTTTTCATTCATTACAAAAAGTAAAAAAAAAAAAAAATACTTTAAGGCATGAAAGACCAAAGTAAATTTGTTTTTATGTTGATTCGATATTGAAAGGAAAAAAATTATTTTATATTTTAATTTCATGAGGTTATGGTTTCAAAACACATAATTAATTTAAGAAAAAATAATTCTAAAGTGCATTTTTAATGTCCCACTAATCGACTAAAAACCACATGAATTTCTAAATGTTGTTAAAAACTTCCTTTTTACTCTGTAAGTTTATTGTTGTGAACTAACATAATGGAGAAAATCAATTTAATGTTTATATAATGATATATTATGTTTTCAGGTTTCAAAAAATACTTTTGAAAATGTAAATAATGGGTTTAAATACATTGTTACTAGAATTCAAGTCAGAGAAGACAAAACAAATGTATTAAATTCAGAGAAGACAAAACAAATGTATTAAAGACAAAACAAATGTATTAAAGAGATTTAAACTACCTCTTGCAAAGTATGTTGCACTATGGCATGCATCATATCAAAAAAAAAAGAAATTCTTGATAGTATGATTCAAGTTTGGCTTAATTATTTTTTTAAAACAGTTGATTTAGTTGAATCACCAGGTAATCAAGAGAGCTTAATAAATCAATCAGCAAAAGAATTCGACCAACAAAAAGGCCTAATGAATCAAGTTCTCTAACCAAAAGACGATTAATAGCAAATATATCATTTGATTCAAAAACGGAATCCGCCAAAATATTGTTAGTGGCACAAAGATCAGCATTTAATAAACGTGACTATAATTAAGTCAAATTACTTAGTGTCGTTACAAAGAAAGCGTTACGAATCGTTATTGCTTTACTTTCAGCTAACCACATTGCAAGAGAAAATGACGTCTGAAGAAGCTTTTGTATATTTCTTCGATAACAAACTTTCAAGAAGTATTTATGAAAACACCCATGAAGAACCACCACGCAGATTTCTATCTTATCGAGTAACTTCTAAAATAAAAAACGAGTGCTCACCTTTAAAAACATCCATTGAAGTTACTGAAACAAAGGCCGAAGTTACACTACAGGATCTTATGGATCATACATCCAAGTGGCTTGAAAATAAAAGATTATTCGATGAAAGTTGAAACCTGTCAACGAAAGAAAAAATCCAAAAATGTTACGAAAGTTACATTTTTTTTTACATTTTTGGATTTTTTTCTATTTGTTTTTTTATTTGATCACTGAATGAAAGAATAGAAGAAAAAAAAAATTAAATACAAACTCCCGAAAAATGAAAAAATATACAAGATTTTAAATATCTGTTTTAAACAAATGTTTAAGATGATCATCAGATAATGTTGATTATAGTTAAGCTTACTTAAGTAAACAAATGGATCAATAAGTAATTTTAGGAAAGAAATAAATTTGAATATGTTGAAGCCTCCAATAAATGTCAAGATTCTGAAACAGCATAGCAGACAACATTTAAAAGCTGTTGTCTATGTGCATTTAATTTCTGAATTAAACGAGAAGACCTTCAGAAATTTTATTAGTCTTCAAGTAGTATTTTTGTTAAGCATTCTTAATTTCGATGAAATGTTTATAATTCTGTTAGCAAAGCTTTAGCATTAAAACCAGTGAACTCAGAAGTTTAACTTTATCTTGAACAGGTTTCCATTTTTCTAAAACTTACTTAAATTTTTTGGGATCAAAGCAGGCAGTATCTTTAATAGCTAGTCATTGTGATTAAAACCGCTCAGAGCTGCTAGAAATTATTTGATCAGAGACTCTTTTAAAAACTTCAACTTGGAAAAGTGTTTGTTAATTTGATGGTCTTGTATCTTTCCTATTTCCCAGGTATTTTTTTCTTCCGTTCCGTACTGGTTTAACGTTACCTTAAGGTATAAATAACTTAATATTGTTGTCAAACCTTAATAATTTTTTTTTTTTCCCTTTTTTTTACTCTTTTTGTTTATAGTATCTAAATTTATGGCGAAAACTCAACTCTGTATCATAGAAATTAAAACGTAGCTCTATTGTTATTTGTTTATACAGAATTTATAAATAATAGTATTTATAAATTCTATTATTAATACAAATAAAAATTTACGAGTAGCAACATTTTTTCAATAATATTAATATTTTCTATTTAACGTATATTTATTGCATATTTATTAAAAGTTTTAATTTAAAACATACTTGTAATTTACAAATTGTTAACTAAAATTTAAAAATAAAATTTTTCGCAAACAACAAGCAAAACACAACAATAATTGTGTTTTTAAAATGCGATTAATTGTTACAAGAAACAACAGCAATTGTGTTTTTAAAATTCGACTTTATTTTACAAAAGAAAAATTTTGTAAAATAAAAATTCAAGTTTTTAAAGAAACTTCTTTTAAGAAAAGCATATTCACAGTTGGAAAATTTTGACTTTTTTGCCGACTAAATATCCCAAAATTGCCCTTTTGTGGGTTGATTCTATATATATTGGAGACTCCAAAACAACAAATTTTATAATCCTGGATCCGAGGGAGATATTTAGCTTCGAAACTACCGAATTTTCTCACTTACTCAAATACTTTGTTTTGGAATTGTAAAGACTAAATTAGCTCAAATAATTTTAATATATATTTTATTATTTACTATAAAAAAATAAATAGATAACAATGAAAAAATACACGATAAATATGTAAAATTATTATTCACAACATTTCTAAGTTTAATTATCACAAATATTTTTGTTGAATCCTTTTGTGGTTCTTAGAATTTTTTGCTATTTTAATCAACATCAAAATTCAACAGCTATTTGGAGTAATCTGGATGAGACATAAACCTTTTGAATCTTTGCCAATGAGGCTTGAAGTTTATAAGTATGTAAAATTATTATAATAGAGTGCCTCTGTTGCTTGCTCACTTTAAATTCCAAACCAAGAGTTTTATGGTGCTTCAGAAATTGTGGAACATGGTAAAAGACAACATGAACTTTTGGTGCGACAGAAACAATCAACTTTAGATAATTGCTCTTAAACTCTTAAATCTTTTTTCCAAAGTCAATTACCAACCTGGAGAAACAAATGAAGAACATAACAAATGGATGATGCTTCAAATGCCTTATCAGCCACGGTTATCGGCTTCAGAGTGTCAATTTTTTTCAGCAACTTCATGCAATCATTGCCATTGAAGTGACCACCATGGTATGGCTGTAATGTTATATGGATTGAAGCCAATCATTCTTATGTTTTGAGAAAAACTTGAACCAAGTGCGTAAATATTTTTTTCCTAAATTTGTCTCCAAGGAAATAGTTTTGCAATCAATAATGATTGTCTGAAGCAAGCGTGACAAATATGGTTCGAAGGGAATTACTTGTGTAGCAATTAATAATGATTATTTAAAGAGAACATTCTAAATGACTGTTAAAGGGAACTGGTTGTGTCGCAATCGTTTGAGTATTGTAAAAAAAACAATCTACTTTTGCTAACAAATATTTGTAAAGTATCAAAAAAAAAAAAAAAAAAAAAGCGAAGCTAAATATCTCCCTTTTAAAATTTTGACTTTTTTGGATTTTAATCCAAAAAAGTCAAAATTTTCAAATTGTGTATTATGTTAAAAACTTACATATTTTTTATCGTAAAGATTTTTTGGAAGCGATAAGATTATTTTTTGATGAATAAGTAAGACTTGGTGAAAAAATTATTAGACTTGGTGAAAAAATTATTTGTACATACACGGGGCTCCGTCAATTTTTGCCATAAACCCCCACCCCCACCCCTCTCGGCGGCCAAGCTTATTGGTGAACCCAATAAGCTTAACAAAATTTATCACTTGTATTTTTTTACTGAAAAATAACTCGATGTTTGGTAAAATAAAATAAAATAGTTTTTTTTTATCGTTTGGTTTGATTTTAAATATCAACAATATAGAAAGAACAATTTTTGTTGAAAAAAATCCTGATTTTGCTTTAGTACCCGTATAATTTCATAAAACCTAAATAATAGAATCCGTTAATCAGTTGAAATATTTTCAAACATCCGTCGTAACGCTTTGGTTTATATTTGGTTTATACTTAATAATAATCGAGACGATATTTACTAAATAAAAATTATAGACACCTTTATACGCCTCTTT